AAAGAAAACTCACAGGCTCCAGGAGTACTAGCCTATGTGCAAGAAGTGGCTGTTATGCAGCCATCTGTTCATAACCATTTCATAACCGTGGCTCGGGGGGTTGGGAAGCGTATCTGTAACCGGAAGGTCGCCGGTTCGATCCCTGGGCTCTCTGCCCTGGTCGTTGTGTCCTTGGGCAAGACCCTTTACCCTACCGCCTACTGGTGTTGGCCAGAGGGGCCGATGGCACGATATGGCAGCCTCGCTTCTGTCAGTCTGCCCCACGGCAGCTGTGGCTACAACTGTAGCTTGCCTCCACCGGTGTGAATGCGAGAGTGAATGAATAGTGGCATTGTAAAGTGCTTTGGGTGCCTTGAAAAGCGCTATATAAATCCAATCCATTATTATTATGAACACATTAGTTGTTGTATTAAACGGCAAATACAAGTATTTAATTTATTGACTGCATTAATGTGATTAATAATTCTTGCCTTGTGAGCATCTGCAGTGCACTTTTGACCAAGGAGGGTTAGGGTCACTCTTTCTACCATGTTTGCTGGGTATAACCGCATTTTGAGAATTTAAAGTAATATACCACTAGTTCCAAACTTCGCAAAGAAAAACCACCATATATGTCTCAGTTAACCCAAGTGATAGAGTATTTTCAGGGGAATTCAGTTTGACTTATATAAGAAGAAGAAGCTAATTTGTTTTTGTGTCTGACTGCAAACTTTTTGTTTATCATGCATAAATTAGCAGAGTGTAATGTGCACAGAGGCAGAAAGCCACAGATGCTTGTAGAGTTACTGTTCAACAGCTTGGTGTTTGTGACACATCATTTAATCAAGGTAATCGCAGCAGATCAATACATCTAATGGAGCTATCTTTTGGTGCAGCCATTTGCAAATTAGATGTTGTAGCCCCCAGATGGCTGCAGGGACTCAACTAACAGCACTTTAAAAAGACTTTTAATCTAATGTGGCATAACAGCACCACATGGCACATATTCAAGTTAAATAACGTTGAACAAAAATAGAGGTATTTAGTATTTTAAAGACTCTTAAAACCGATACTGATATATCAGATTTTAAAAATCTGATATTCCAGTATATCGGACAATATTTTTTTTTGTTTCCGACACATATAGATTCAACAGATTTTCTTAATATTTTTTTAAGCTATTTATTTACTCGTTTACTCTTTGCCCGACTCATCTTGGATCAGCCTTTTGTTGTATTTCTGTGTTACCAACAGAGAAGTTGAAAAATGCCCTCTGGTGGCCAAACGATGTAACACCAACACTCACAACATGGCCTTGGGTGTTTCTGCCGTGTCCTCTTTACTTTTCAAATGTTCATTTATCAAACATTATAAGTGCTGATATTTGTAGATCCGCAAATAGCTAATATAGGCTTTATTGTATTACTTGCTTTTGCCTTGTAGCCTTTTACGTAATATGGGATGTGAGACAGTATATTTTAGAGCCTTAACCACAGAGAAAAACACAACAATTTCAGAAGTATTAATTTAGTCAGTTAATTGTGGTGTGACATTGTTAAACTGGTAAGCATCGCCCACGTTAGTGTTCTGTACTGGCAGCTACTGCGGCTCTTTATAGGGTGTCAAGAAACTGTCATTAAAAATTGAATTTTTCTATGTAAGAGACAAGATTCAAGACTTGTTAGAAGCTTGTATAACTAAATTGTAGATGAAGTCATTTTATGCTACTCAGAAAAGATGCTAATGACATAAGTAAAAAAAGGTGAAATAAATAAGAACCTGTGGCTGGGATGTGGCATCTTAACTTTAATTTTTGACTGATAAAAAAATGTTAATGCAAACTGCTTCCCCTCAGGTAACAGAAAAGTCCATTTCATTTCTAAATCAAGTATAGTAAGCATGAAGCCCATGACTGTATGCAGGACAGATTCACCCAAAAGGTGCCATGGGAAAATTTAAATTTAAGGTAAACCTCGAAATGTTTACCTGGTGTCCCTGAGATTTTGCTGCTTCATCATACTAAGCAATTGTAATGAAAACAAAGAAACCAAAGAAAGAGAGTGGTCGAGTTTGACAAAGAATTAGTCTTGGCATCAGTGTAGAGACATCTTGCAGACTTTCACAGTGCACACTGACAAACATGGACAGGACCTCACATACAGTGCAGACGGAGAGTGTAAGATCGTGACTTGCTGTTAACCACATTTAACCTGTTAAATCACATGTATCCGCCTGAATACTGCTAAAAGCTTCATGTAAATATAATCTGTGCAGACCACTGCTGCACACAAACTCATCTACTAGTCTCAAAGACTGCAGTAACAACCACTTCTCCTCCAGGCCAGATCGGGGCACTTCAGACACAGCAGTGAGCTATTTCTTCATGTATACATCTAAATTTAGAGATAAGTGGGCAGCAAACTCAGAGACATGATGGCTCATAATTCTACAAAGCCTCAAACTTGAACACAATGATGCTACAGACTTAGAGTGCAATATTTTAAGCTTGACGACCAAAAAATATAAAGCTCTTTTCATAACTATAGTCATCAGTTTTGTGCATTCATATTGTGAGACTGGAACGACAATGATAAATTATTTATTCAATCTGATTTAATTCAGACACTGAATTTATCATTAATCCATTTCTAATTTCTATCTCAGACGCCATAAACAATTTATATGACAAAATCAAAGTTGATAAAACCAAACGGAGAAAAGATTAATGTGTTTATGTAAAGCTCTTTTTTGAATTCAATCAACTGAGAATAAATTACATTTCATTGGTGCTGTTAACAGCAGTTATACATAACATTTTAAATAATTCAACAATAGAAACAAGGTGACTGGGACTCTATCTACGAAGTTTTTATTGCAACCATAAGTAGACAAAAATGAAAAGAGCTACTAGGTTATTCTGTCAACCTAAAACTAGGTTTGATAAATCATTTTCATTTTCATCTGAAGAAATGACCTGAAATCAATTTGTGTACTAAAATGACTGAATACACAGAGAAAGTGTATTTAGTTTTATTCTTTGTCAGTACAATTGGACAACACAAATCTATTGAAATGTCTAAATTACTCAGAATAAGGGGTATTAAAAATATTTTGTCTTTGTACTATAACAACGTTGTTGATTTTCCTAAAACTAGTCTCGGACAAACACCATCCATATTACAGTCATTTTAAAAAATAAAACTACCACTGACTTTTTTCAGGGGAAAAAACTAAAATAAAAAAAATAATAAAAAACTGAAGCAGATTTCTGTCCCGTCTTCACCCCCAACCAGTCACCAGATGGACACCTGAGCCTGGTTTTCCTGGAGGTTTCTTCCTGTTGAAAGAGAGTTTTTCCTTCTCACTGTCGCCAAACCACTTGGTCATAGAGGGTCATATGTTGGGGTTTCCTCTGTTTTCCCTGTATTATTCTTTTGTATACAAATAAAGCACTGTGAGGCAACTTTTGTTGTGATTTTGTGATACATAAATAAAACTGAATTGAATTGAAAAAGATTTGGCACAGTAATGGTGATCTTCTTTTAACGAAGATAGACACCTACTGTTCAACTTTTAGCAATAATATAAGTATGATGGGCGAGTCAACCATTTTCAACCAGAGTGAAGTGTCTCAACAAACTACTCAAAGAATTTTTACAGTAAAGACTTGTGATTGTCACTACTGTGAATCTAAATATCCACCTGTTGCTACCATCAGATCAAAATGACTTTGGTTTACTACCAAGCTAGTTGCCTATTTGATGATTGTTTCTACTTAGCTCTTGTTATAGTAACTTGTTTTGGCAGTGACACCTGGTAAGTTGTTCCAGTAATACAAGTACTTTTCCCAGTAATATATTATGTAAGGTATTACAAGTCAGATTTTCAGTTTTTCCAATTAAGTCCATAATATTTTTGCATGTTTTTCACTTAATTTTACTGACGTACCTGTTTTTCAATTACTAATCAAACTACACCAGCTTTAACCAAACCAAACCAACAAACTAGCTCATTAGTGCAAATAGTCTAATAAAATTACTTCCTCAACAAAACAGAGGAATAAACTTCTTGACAGGTCAGTTTCTGGACTGGTCAGTTTCAGTTTTCTCAAATATTTCTTTTTCAATCCTTAACATTAGCATTTTGGCTGCTACAACGTTTGGCTTTTAGCCCCAAAAGTGACCATACTGGGAAGAGAGGATAAGGGTTAAGTTAACAGCTATGGCTAGAAGCTGAAAGCATCCACTGAATGAGTGCAAAACACAGATACATAAACCAGCTAATTAGTATAAAGTAACCGACTAATGAAATAGTCAGATGTGCTATACCACACAGCAGCCCATATTACATGTCAGATAATGTCATTAACTTCTCCAACAGCACAAACATAGTCAAGAGGTCCAATTCAGTGACTTGAATTAGTGATCATTTTTCAATTTTTTCAATATTCAATATTTGTTTCACAAATTCCTTTCCAAGATTTCAATAAAACTGAAAAATAACACCAAAGTAACTGCAGTTTTCCGCATCTTAAAATGTTTGGCAAACAGGAATAAAAACTTGCAAAGTGCCTGATGTGGTCCGCGAGCATATTAACAATACTAATACTATCAAAATCACTGCCTTGCACTTGGATGGAGGCAGGAATAAGAGCAAGATAACTTAAACACGGGGCAATTCTTCACTCTACTACAGGCAGAGAGGAAATGATTCTCACAGGGTAACCTGAGCCTCTACACATTATGGCAAATCGTTCATGCTTTATTATAAAATGTGAGTGTTTATGTAATGTAAACTGAATTATGCTGTCATAAAATGCAAACAGGGAGTGAGATGAAACCTCCGAAAGGCTCCTTGTTTATTTATGATAGCTGAGCAGCCCTTCTGGAGGACATATTGTCAGCTGAAATCCCACTCAGCTCCTTGTGGCTCAGACATAAGTGGCTCGATGATCAATACTCGCACTCAATTCTGAAATTCCTTATTTATAAAAACAGAGAAGCACAAAGGTGCCAGGTTACCTCCACTCCGCTGGTTTCCACGGGAACAAACAGGCAGCTTCTTTAAACCTTCAGTTCCTGGAAATCTTCCAAAAGCAGCCCGAGTTTACTCTCCTCAGCAGACGACGGTTGCTGAGTCATTACTATGTGACCTTACCGCCACCTCCAGCTACTGTTTGAACTTGAACGTCGGACTATTTCACAGAATCCAGAGCCACCGATCTTCTGCGAGCGACAACTAGAGCTACTTTCTGCGATAAAACAACAATAACGACTATCAGCGTACTACAATGAGCACAACGCCACCGCCTCCGACTCGGAGGAACGCTGCTCCACCTGCACAATGAGTAATGAAGACGTATCTGCCTCTCCAGCAGCCCCTGCACCCGCAGACAGCGCTGCACCTGCGAGGACTCACTCTGCAGCCTTCCTTTGCAAGCTGGCATGTCTCAGTTTGAGCGAAAGCATTAAATCCGCAGCATTAAGCAGCCATTTACTTTGCCAAAGCACATGCATGTCTTTGCTGCACGGCAATTATCCACGCAGCATCACGCTGATGCCACGGTGCGTAGCTGCCCACTCAAAACTAAACGCTGTAACGCTTGCATGGATCATTTCGCGGACTTACCTGCGTTTTCACAGAGCAGTCTGCACAGAGGAGAAGGAGCTAGAAGCGGGAGATGAGGCGACTATAGGACGCAGCAGCGGGGCTGGTTCACTCTATAACCTTTACTGGAGACACGCGAGGCAGCCTGCTGGATCTGCCAAAGGATGCTCAGGCTGACCACGTGACTGGGGAGGACAACCAGCCTATCTCAAGTTACCGATGGACACAAAATTTAGAGCTTAATCTCAGAAGAGTCAGAGCAGCAGGCAAAAGCAACAAAAAACACACAAAAAACCTCTTCAGTAAACAATTCCTACGAGACAGATGATCAGCTGTTTAAATATATAAGTGGAAGTATAACAATATGCCTCAACACATGTGGATTAATCATGCTGGCATAACTACACCAGGAATAGCATTATCAGAAAAACTGGAGGAGTAGTTCATAGTTTTACACTAGAGCAGGGCGATATGGCCAAAAATATTTATCACGATATATATTTGAAAATTTGCGATAACAATATAACTGACGATATAATTGATGC